AAAGTAGTAAAAGAACGGAAGAAAAGACAGCAGAATATCTCGCAATAGAAATATTGGGAGGTTTGGAAAATCAGTGTTTAGCCAGCAGACTTTGCTGTCTGCAATCAAGATCCATTAAACACTATCACAAACATCAGAAGTGGCCATTCCTGTGTCCAGCTTTGAAAAGTGACCAGCCTTCCTGATACAGAGCAGCTTCTCCTCCCAGCTCTCTCTGTGCATGTTGGGTGCTCTCTGCTATTTCCCCAGAGTTAGGTTTGAGTCACAGAATTAAGCAATAAGAAAATTCTGCTTGAGTCAGGAATTAACCCAACAATGAGATTTCTGCAGTTGCAAGTGCACACATCTAATCCCACTTTACCCAGCGACAGCCTTGGTAGCCTATCCCTGGCTGCGATTTTACGTGAGAGTAAATACAAGTGAGTTTCTGCAGGTGATTCCCCATTGTCCTGCTATGCACTGAGACTATTTTCCACTGAACAAGGTAAATGCAAAGTTCTGCCAAATTACATCAATATGATTCTGTGTATCATTTTCTATCTGTCTATAAGTGCTTCACAAGATGGAGGACAATGTAAAGATATATGTTCTCTGTATTTGCCTGCATCACCTCTGAAATTGCAGTGGCTTTTCTTTTACTGGTAAATAATTTTGATGATGTCTGCTTTTTCAGTCACAGGTGGAAGATAAAATTTCCCACAGATAGTATTCAAAGACATTCATGAGTTTCTTAATGACATTCATGGGAATAGGGAGAATTCTAGCATACAAACCAATATGTATTTTTTTACTTTTCTGTGGATTTTGACAAACTGTCATTCAGCCAGCATTACACTTTGCAGAGTATGCCTGGTCAATGTAAAAAGCTTGAATGATTATGATCATTCGAGAAGTCAGAATCAGGTATATGATCCACACAGTACTCCCTTGTGTGCCTCCTTTCATTTTATCTCTAGAATTCTCTTTTTTTCTGATTATTTTTTTTTTTCTACATGACTCGTCAAGTCATGACCAGGGTTTTTTTTAAGTGTTTGCCTGGAAGAGAACTCATCTGACAATAAATATACCTCTGCCTTGTGTTTATTAGCATGCAGTTCAGTGGCATGCTCTGGGTCTGGATAGCAGGAAACTATATGTGAAAAAAAATCATTTTATAGTCCAGCAGAGGATCAAGAACTCCTCTGTAAAATTTACATCTGACAGCCTTATGTTTACCTAAGTGAGATGATATGTGGATCTGTACTTGTGCTATGGGAGAAATTACCCTACATTGCTGTTAATTGTATAATTCTTAAAAATTAGTCTGTTCAGAAGGCCATTGCTGTCTTCTTTCAAATATGTCTGTTAAAGCTATTTAGAGTTTGAAAACTAGTCCTAAGGGAAAACGTCTTTCAAAAAATAAAGTATTTATGCAAAGGCAACATCAGGCTATCCTCTCTCTTCCAACGTTGTGTAACCAGCTGAATTAAAATAAACAAAATAAACTTGTTCTTACTACTTAGGGGTTGACACTTTGTACATAATCAGAACCATAAACGGATGGAATAGTCATCATACTTCAGGTAACACATGCATTTACGGATAGTGCATGAATGCTGTTTTATCTGCCCCAGAAAATTTTACAGGATGTAATTAATGATGTATTTGGGCCAACAACCAACCCATACAAAATCTATCTGAGCATTTCTGGGAAGTATACCTGAGATACTCTCTGCCAAAACATGATACTGTGGCAGTCTTCAGACAGGGGCAAACCCATTGCAAATGGGTGTAAACACATCGGAAGGTGGTGCCAAATGCCCACCAGCAACATTCTCCAAGGATGCAGTGACCACCAGCCCTGAGAGCATTCCCCCAAGCTGGACAGCAGGTCTGGTGTAGGGGGCTATGGCTTCTGGACATGCAGTCCTAACGAGTCCTCAAAATTAATTTAAAGCCTCATACTGAATTCCCAGCAGAGCCTAAGGAGAAGGAAGGAAATGTGCTAAAAGGAAAAAAAAAAAAAAAAATCCCTATAACTACGCCTCTCTTTATGACGGTCACTCTGTACAGCAAGAATTAAATGCATGGTATAGCTCACTCATCTCCAGAGTAAATTGGCAGTGTTCTGAATAGGACTCATAGAGTGCTTGAGGCACTCTCTAGTAATACTTCAAATGCCAGCACCCCCTTTGAAAGCAAAGCTTGCACATATCCACCAAAGCCTTCCCCCCGTGCACAACACTCCCCACACCATTGGCAGAGACACGGTAAATTTGAAATAAAAAGGGGCACCAAGGGCACCAGAGACCTGCTTTGATTTTCAGAGCTGTTTTGGAGGGAAACAAAGAGGCTGCAAGAGTATCTACCCTGGTCTGTTTTCCCCTTCCCAGCTGTACAGTAAGAAACAATTTTCAGTGAACTGTGGAAGAATGGGTGTGTTTAACCTTCCGGCATGGGATAGGAAATCCTTTCAAAAGGAAAATAAGCTTCAATAGTACTCTTACCTTCCTAAACAGACCAGTGTAAGACCTAAACAAACAAAAATGTTGAAATTGTCCCTGACAAGCTGAAACAATGCTGCCTCATTTTTTTAAAGGCTGCTGTTTTCTGCGTTGTGTTGTTTCACAGCAACTCAAGCAGCCACTGGATAGTTAAAACTCTCCTCTGATTTGCACCGTAGGAACGTCTCTAGGAGGAGATTTGAATTGGTTCAGAGCTTGGCAATGAAAAGGCAAACCTGGGCCTCTGACTGCATGTCCTCCTAAGAGGGAAACTGCAGCTCAAATCACAATTATGGGCTTGATGCAGAGATTATTGGAGGCAGACATCTGGCTTGTGTTCAGCAGGACTTCAGGCTAGAAGATGATAATAGTCCCCTCTGGCCTACAAAACCTGTGACGCTGTGAATTTTTAATGTATCCTTGAAAAGATAAACTTAGATGTGATGCTAGGCATTCTTCACCTTCTCCCCAAACAGATGTCTGAGCCCTGGCTCCTGTGCATCGTAAGCAATGCTGGTGCTCACCAGATTTGGGGTTGCAGAGCACTGGGGGACTGCTGCTGAGAGTTGGGCTACTGCTGAAGTACCCACTGCTGCCACAGCTACTCATGCTGCTCCTCCGTACTGCTGACACGATCTTTATCTCCTTGGTGGGACTCACTACAAACAGAAAATACACAAAGAAAGGGAATCGGTTTCAATTTTTAAGCCCATTTGCCTGTTTTCTTGAAAACAATAGCAATAAGCCCTGGTTTCACTGACAACACTGGGAAGGGCTTAGTGTCTTCCACATAGTTAGAAGAGTCACTGCAGGAGTAAAATGCTGTAGCTAACATGATGGCTGAACTGCTCTCAGTGCAGTGTCTTCTAAGAAGCATTTCAATGCAGGGAAATAGATGCTTCCAGTCTTCCTTTTAATTTGCATATATTCTTTCAGTTCTTACTAGATATTGCTGTAAAGCAAATGCTGCAGGACCACTTCCCATCACTTTTCTAAAAAACTCCACATAGAATACATGACAAATTACTTTGGGCTTGGGTGATTTTAACCAGTCCTGTTTGCTCATGGACACTGAATTTTGATCAGTGTCTGAAATGTTATTGATACGGATACAAAACCACCCCAGTGAGCTAAAGATTTGGTAAACTGAGTGAATGGACAATCCCTATGAACAGGGACACATGATGCCCAGCTGTGCTTTTTTTCAGCTGTGCTCAAACCCCTTTTCCCAAAAGGTTCTTTTAACATCCCATAGAGTCACACTACAGACAGCAGTACAGTCGATGAGTCACCTGAGAGAAAACTGGTGTGTTTTCTGTTGTCATGGTTCTGCTTGCGCAGGCAAAAGGGGCTGTCGTGGCTTTCTGGTATCAAGCGAGACTTCTCCGTGAGGAGCTCCATTAACCGCCGCCGCCGACGGAAATTCATTCTGCACTGATAGAGCAAGTTGCTGTCCATAAAATGGTGCTTGTTGGACACTAGGAAAAGAAATGGATAGAAAGTCTGTGCCTGGTAGGACTGAAATCAGATTGTACCTATCTGCAATGCACACCTTGGTGTAAGGAAGAAACACCCAGAACTCTCTCCTTCCCTCTGCAGACTCAGAGAAGGAGGGAGGTGTTCAGCTTCACGCGGGAGCTTCAATACACAGCTTCTGTAGGGTCGGTAACAAAGCAAGAACTTTGGTGGCCATTGCTGAGAGGAATCTTTTACACTACCTTGATAAATGACAAGCACTTCATATTGTCAAGTGAAAATGGAAGTACTTTATTTTTCCATGACAGGCTGCATAACGATCCGTCTTCATGCTTCCCCTATATGCTGTTTGCTGCTGCTGGTTACTATAGACTAGACTTAGTTCCTTACGTCAAGCTTTCTGTAAATTCATCAGCCTAGAGCAGCCCCTGGGAGCTCTGGCTGACTACCTTGTTCAGAGCTACAGGACCGCAAAGAATCAAGGCCTGTGTATTTCCCTCATCTTGCTCACCACAGACACCGTGTCCCAGACATTTCCGGCAGGCCACTTCCTCCGCTTCACACAGATACGCAAGGAATAGGGAATAGGCATCTGGCCAAAAATAATTTCTTACATAATGAACAGAAGTCTTAATTACAACCTGTTTTGACACAGAAAGCAAATCCCAGGTTACTGGTATCAAGCAAGAGCGATGAGCCTACCCGACTGCACCGGCGTTGTAGAATCTACATGTTTGCTGCCACCAATGCTGCATCTTAATAGTAATGCAAATTGTAGCAGTTGGATGTATCTCTGTGCCAGATCCCAAAAGTGTTCTGATTCCTTCAGGGCTTGACTGCAGGAAAGCCCTCAAAGTACTCCCTGCATTAGTACTGCAGTGTCTTAAATAGCTGCAGTAGATATTTTGGCTGCATTTTCTCCACCTTCACCTAGCTCTATTGATCAGCCTCCACAGAAATAATTTCTCACAGTTGACCTTTTCCATGAAAGATCTAGATTCTAGATTTATATAGTTTATAATTGCATTTCTTCCAATATTGAATCATAAGAACTGGTAGCTATACATATTTATAAGTAAAGCATAAACAACAACATAGATATGCACTCACAGGTCAGTCAACTCTTTGAGTACACGACTCAATCATTTGACTTCAGCCTCCTACTGCAGACACTGAAGTTCTGCCTTGCTCTTTGCTCTGCCCCACGCATGGGATCCAAAAGCAGCAAAGCACAAGGTGCTACACTAGACCCAGAGCCTGGAGCATAAACAACAAAGACACCAGTCCTAGATGTGATCCTCAGGGCACAGCCCTCGATATGTCCAACTGCAACGTTTCAAGTACCATTATACAAAAGGCCTCTGTTAGCCAGATCGCCTGGTTCTGTCGAAGAGCTTCAGAAAAGTCAGTGCCACTTGCCTTTTCTCTGCTTCACTTTGGTGCTGAAATAACTGCTTCCTCAAATCAGCCATTTTGCATCCTCCATGAGAAAAATGGCTTTTGCCATTTTTGCCATTTTTTGCAATTGAGTCAAATTCAGCATTGCAAGCAATTCATTCCTGTGTTCAGACACATTAATCATTGCAGGCACACACTGCTGCTGTGCTCCTCATTTGGGACACATGTAGTATGCAATACTGTTAGACAAGACTAACAATGACTATTTTTGAAGAATGGAAACAGGAGGAGAGATTTGAAGACTAAGAGGAGAGATTTGGAGACTTGCTTACATCTACAAAGGAATCTGCTGTCAGAGGCAGAGTTAGTATGCAGGTGTTCATAGCTACCAGTCTCATTTTCAGATCTCTGACAATAGGTAAAAGTAGCAATAGCTATCAATCGGGAACTGAAAGGTCACTATAAGATCTCCCCAGAGCCTTCTCTTCTCCAGGCTGAACAACTCCAACTCGCTCAGCCTGTCCTCATAGGAGAGGTGCTCCAGCCCTCTGGAATCTCATCATCATGGCCCTCCTCTGGAATTGTGCCAGCAGGTCAATAATGCTAAACGAAAAAGAGTCCCATAAGTACTTCCTTAGAAGTAATTATACCGTTGCAAACTGTTTGTAAGATAAGAACTATCAGTATGGTTTCTGATTCAAATTAAATATTATGGCACTACAGTTTTTAATTGAAATTATTTTGTTCTGTTTGTGTCATTAGCTGAAGTCCTCTGAGAGTCTTCAGAAATTATGATAGTCAGAGATCAACACACACCCATGTTGCAGCCATGATAAAGCACTCCAAAATTCTAGAATAATTACTGACCACAAAAGTAAATAATGTAAACTTTTTTGGCCCAAGATACTGAACATATTTTAGAGTAGCAACACTTGGTTTGTCTGAAATACTGTAATAATTATACAACTACAGCAGCAAAGCTTAGATCTTTCACTGAAATCATTCATCCCCACTGTAACTATATTAGTCTGCAGAAGGGTGAATTTTTACACAATAGATGAATACAAGTTGAAAAGGTAAGAGTACCCGTGGAAAAGGTACTACAAGTTGTAGAATATTTGCATATGATTTACACAACAAAGGGCCTGTAGCCAGAATTCTTATGACAAGTAACATTAGCACAGAATCTAAATGCTTGTTGGTTTTAATATTTTAACTCCTCATTTCTACTGACAGTTCACATCTCATGTGAGAGTGTTAGAATAACAATGTGCAAATGTTTGAGCAAATAATGTATTTGTAGCATCATGTAACTTTTTGCATATTTAAGAAGCTAAAAAAATTAAACAGTAGTTAGCTCAGCCTGCCTCCTTGTACATACATCATCAAATAAAATAACTCACCAAAATTACTGGTGTGCAACATGAGCCCTGGGTGGTTTTTTGGGGGGTTATTTTTGTTTGGTTTGTTGTTGTTTATCACCTGATACCTTCATGATTTGAGATGAAATGTCCATGCTGTGGCTGCCTAAGGATGAGTGTGTCTGGAATGACGTGGAAAAAGGGATTCCAGACCATGGATCAGAAGGAAGAGGTTGAGGCAAACCCCAATGCAGACTGCCTCTGAAGCACTCCTCAGGTGCAGGGGTTGACTTTCAGTGTTAACCAGGAGGATCTACACATGCCCTGGTCCTTGATAAGTCACAACTGTGTGAATGCCACACACAGAGCATACACAGAAGGTTTGTGTTGTTACACTTAGTGTAACTCTCATACTGCGTGAGAGGTACTGGCACAGACATGGGTGCTCGGCTCAACTGCTTTAACAGTCCATGTTTTGCTGCTATCAGCAGAAAAAAGTGGGAGTGAAAAGCTTTTCCAAGCTGACTGCAGAATGCTGAGAGGACTGCACAGACTTGCTGCGGAGAGATTTTTTTAAAGGTAATTTAGAGGTTGTTATCTTGATCTAGCACAGAGTGTTGACTCGGAGGTAGCAGCGCATAAACTAGTGGAAGCTCACAAGGCTGTTGCTCCAGGTATCTGTCCCTCTTGCAGAAGCTGATGCCTCCAGATAGGGATTGACTTAACTACTCCTGAATTAGTTCACTGCCCATCATAATGGAGCATGGAAAAGCAAACTGATACACGCTTCAATTTGTCTTAAAAAGCCAGGCCATGGCTAATGAGTACCAGGATCTGCATTTGTACATTATGAGGGTGATGTAAAGAGCAAGGCGGGGTGACTTCATGGGTTCCTTGTTCCGATTTAATTCACTGGTGCTCATGTGGCAACACGTTCATGTTCCAACATGCACCTTATGAAACAGAAAGAAATGTACCAAGGAGAGTAAAGTAAAAATATGGCAACTGCCAAAATCATAAAAGTGCACAAGGGCATTTATGGTCCTTGAGGGAAAGGCACCAATACTAATTCACAGTCACTGATGTTAGACTTTGGAGGTACGGTCACAACACACCAGTTTAATCTCCCACATACACAGGCCACAAAATTTCTCCCAGAAACAGAATTTTAAAACTGTCTTTTACTCTTACAAAAATATAGTTGACTTATTTCAAGCAGCCCGTAATGACCACTTCACTCTCCCTCCATGAGCTGTGTAAGCCTTCAGTTACTTTCCCTGCCAGGCAATAAAGATTTAACTCAAGGCTAAATCTGTTTAACTTCAGCTGCTAATCCGTGGACTTTGTCACACCTTCATCATAAAGTTACATAAAATCTGGTCAGAAATCTTTGTAAAGAAGTCTGTGAAGTCTGTGAAGTGATGAAGCCAAATCTCAAACACATCTTTGATCAATATGTATTGAACAAAGTTGAATAAATAACACCCCTTCAATGCTGACTTTTTTCTTTGTCCCTTCTCAAGTCCTCCTTAGAATTTATCCTTCCCAAAAATCTAACAGAGAACTGCCTGCTTACAGTTACACCCTCACTCCCTTCTCTTACTTGCTTTTGTCCTTTTTGTACATCTTAGGCTCATAGTAACATTTACAACTGTACTGGACAGAAAGCAGAAGATGGGAACACTGTGTCCCCTGTACCTCCTCCTTTCCTTGCACAGCATTGCTTCACACCAATAAGCAGAGTCTGTATTCTCACTCACTAGATGTACTACCTGCTAGTCATACCATTAGCTATACAAAACCACTCTTCTGGGGTAATGACCATTTAATCAATAGCATCAAATTATGCGTTTACTCTCTCATCTTCATTGGCAAGGATTTCAGATGAACATTCGCCATTTACATGACTGTTAAGAAGAAAAAAATCAGAATATTTATTTTAGCATTTCTCTGTTTGGGAGCACCTAATGCTGCAGCTTTGGTGCTTCTTGTGCCTGGCTGCTTCATAGTTTCTGTCCAGATACATAAAATATAAATTGCAACATCCAAACAGATCTTCTTTCAGCTTCTGATTCTGAAATAAAATCCTGGGATCTGCATGGGGCTCAAACAGCCTCTTCTTTTGCAAGGAGGCCGATGCACAACAGAGATAGAAATATTAGCTTTAGATTAATTTCATATTGCTGGGGAGGCTTTAGAAAGTACAAAAGCCTATTTTAATAAATGGCGTGACTCATGCCTTA